TACATATATATAAAAACAATTTATATAAACAAATAGCGCTTATAATTACTGCCAAGGAATTCATTTTGGATATTGGTACTATTTAAAACATTTTATACTTTTACATTCCTCGAATCATTGTTCGAAATCTAAAGGAAAATACATTAGTACGTATTTTATACAGTAATACACTCGAGTAACTAATAAAATAATATTAAATGTGTGTATATATCATAATGCATTGGTATAATTTATTGATTTTAAAACTATCATAGTATTATGGTATCAAATTATGCGTTTATCAAACTCGGTACCCACATAGGGTCGTTTTTATTTTTATAATAGTATTTAATTTGGTTATAATCAGGGCCGGATTGGTTATGCAAGCTACCGAGAAAATCTCGGTGGGCCGCTTAAAGTTTGGGCCGATGGTGTAAGTGTGAGTGAAAATAAATTCATGTTTAAAACACGATTGGCCACCAATAAGCTCGTAATAATTATTATAGACGTCATTTTAGGCCACTGAATATGTAAATAGGCTGCTTATAGAAGTGAAAATCTCGGTGGGCCGATACATACCAATCCAGCCCTGGTTATAATAAATCAGCAATAAATTGTTATGGTACTACAGAGTACAGTTGAGTATATAGGTACTTAAAAAATTCTACCTAGTGAAACTGAACAGTTCATAATCTCTTAATTTAAATCTGTGTTACTATTAAGTTTTTTATATTTATAATTTAATTGGTTGGTTGAAAATTCTTAGAAAATGAAAGATAGACTAATGTTGCTAAGTACCGTGTGCTTACCAGAATGTAAAATACATCGAAAAAGATTCTATGCAAGGACCTTCTATATGAAGGAAGAAGAATAAGAAGTAATTGCTTGTTTAGTACAAACAACTAATGGAAATACAATACTAATTCGATAAAATATAGTTTGTGTTATGTTTAAGTATTTACCAGCAAATCGTCCAATATTGGTATTCTACTTAAAATTGGCTTGGATTTCACTGGGTCAGACCATCATGCTTTAGCAACCATTTTTGTCAAAACCACAGCTATTTTAGACACTATTGTAATGTCTCCTTTTCACCTATCGCTCGCATACACTATTGAAAACATTAATTTAGGCTAATTTAAAAAATATTTTTTATTTAAAAAAACAGTATAAATTTTAAAACCGATAGTTTTTTCACTTTTATTAATTTCAAAATAGGTGTATAAAATATATTTACGTAGTTTTTTTATAAATATTTTACGGTCAATACGTATTATAAGGCCATAGAAGTGATGAATTGTTGGATGCTCGGAATATTGGTACGGTCCATACAATATTTATAACAAAAGGAATAAAAAATGCGGAAAACTGGTACTATTCAAAATTTAATTTTCAGGGATCCTAAAATATTTACAATTTGTATAATATAATGTTGATAAATCACCATCGTCAACAAGTTAAATTTAAATAACACTTAAAATAAAAAAAGGTGGTCAAGTGGATGTCGCTCTGCTGTACATTAGGTTACAAGTAGGTCACTGTAATTGATGGTGTTAAATTTGAATTCAATGATATCATATAGTATAGGAAAAACGATTCTGATCGAAAACGGTTAGTCAGCATATGATAATATTATTAAGTATATATTTGATGATATTATTGTGAATAAAGTAATTTATATATAACCTATTTACGTGGAGCCTTGTTTTAAATTTTTAATCCTTAGTTTTAAATTTTAAATTTGATAAATTTTGTCAAAATTCGAACTTTAAATGAAAAAATTGTGCCTATGTATTTTCAGTGTTTTTCAACTACTATTGTAACAATATATAGGAGCCTTGCATTAAGTTTTCACTCTTTTTTACAAAACAAATAAAAATAATTTAGTTTTTATTGATATTTATAAAACAGATGTATCCTCTGTACAATACAATCATAAAATTACAACGATATTCAATACATTTTTAAATAATAAAATAATTATTGTCTAACACGGAATGTTGTGCACTATAGTCGACCATATTTGACTTGGGGTTTCTCGTGTTACTACAAATTTTTCCTTTATACTATTATACGTGTGAGGTATAAATTTTAAGTGAAAAATAGAACACACTCAATCCACTATTGCGAATGATGTACTGGTGAGAACTTGCTGTATATTATAGTTCATGACATTTATTGATTAATAGATATTAAATTTATTGTATCTTATCGTTATCGTATTATTTTCACTCGCAGTCACTCGTGGTTTCCCACCACGATTAAAGGCACATTAGTAAACCGCTTCCAGACTGATTTACAAAGTGACTATAAAAATTCAAAAATCAGCTGTTAATAATTAACTAGTGGCGCTTAATGTCAACACTCAAGCATATGTGTCGACATTTAGAACTAATTTTACACCTATATAATATCTATAATCGGTTAATTGTAATACTGCCGCTTGGAGCGCCACTGGTTAATTATTGGTAGTCATTTCGTATTTCACCTTATCAGTAGTCGATGTGCAACCTGTATATCTTTAATCGTGTTTCCCACCGATCGTCGGTAAAATTAAATTTAAAATAATCGTTTATATTTTATTCTTTTTTTTTCATAAAATGTTGGCAAACCTTGACTATTGTGGACCGTACCAGTGTTCCGTTTACCGAATTGTTGAGGTTCGTGAACTTCACAAATTAAAAGTGTAATATTAATAATAATATTATTATACTAAAATAACAAAATTATTTAACATTTTAACTGCAGCTGTTGTAAGTGCATAATACTAATAAAGTGTATTACATTTTTGATTTTGACCCGACAATTATAACTGATAAGTTCAGTATGGTTAATTTTTATTATCGATATCATAATAATATATTTAAGCATTATATACTAAGCTAGTTTCCTACGTACTAAGATAATGATGTTTTTAAAGTGACTCTCGATACCAAAAATCTAAGGACGTACCAATATTAATATAATATGTACACATAGATCACATATTTTCATTTTTCATGCACTAAAAAGTATCAAAATATGGCATAAGTATAATATGCAGTCAAAATCGTGAAAATAATTTTAAAAATATGCAAGAAAAAAATATAGTTTTTAATTGATAATTATTAATATTGGTCTATAAATTGATGAGGTTTTAAAATAATTTAAAAATAAAAATACTCATCCATTTTAAATACTATTTATAACTTAAACACAAGTAATGATCTTATCTATATGGTTAAGTACACAAATGATGACGAAACCAAAAGATTTACGTTCAACTTGGTTGATTCTTGCGTCTTTACTTTATTGTTGGAAAACCTATCCAACACCTTCTGTGGCAGATACGAATATCACTTTGCACAATTCAGCTGGAACTTACCTGTATTACCAATTGTATTTCAGGTAAAATAACATGCAGGTGGAATTTACATTTTTTTTTAATTTACATGAAAAAAGTTTTAAAAAAGGTCGCAATCGGTGGAACTAACAAATCAGCAAGCAATTGGCCTAGTTCCAATTTAGGGCAACTGGGCCTAAAAAAATTAACACATCAATTTAGAATTGTTAAATCACCACACCAATTGGTTAACCCACCAAGATATAATTTTCAGTGGTATTTAGTCACTAAACATATTGTAACAATTATAAATATAAATATGTTACATGACACCTATATATATATATATATATATACTTATACAAGCTCTACTATATGTACGACTAACTGCTGACCTATACATATTAGAATACACACATAATTGTAAGGGCCTATGGCCAACACACACAATGTATTAGTAAGTTAGTTCACTGTTCACCTTCTACATCATCACACAATACAATTACTGGACGTCTGGACTCCGTAGGACTACGATACAGTCACATAGTATAATAGAACCATAGTTAATATATTTGTGAGTATTAGTATTTGTAAGTGTTTAATAGACAATAAACCATAGTTAATAGTTATAAGTTATAACTGAAATAGAATCCTAGTAATTTAAATATATTTAAGATCCTGATATCTACATATCTGCCCCTGGCTACGGTATTTATATCTATAGAATCCATACAATTCTCCCTGGATATCTTATATTTAATTGGTCGTTCCCCCGACCACGTTACAATATTATTATAAAAACCGCCAAACTGACGGGCAACCAACACAAACACAAAGCCAACGTCAAGCCTATACATTTATTTATTCTTATGCTATAAGAAGAAGTATAACTAGGACAAAAATAACGCGGTTCGCGTTGTTCATAATTCGTATTTATGAAAATCAAATACTATAATATACGAAAATACGGGACAGCTATGGTCAAAACTGGTGACCAATCCTTATCAGTTCCCCGAAATTGTATTTGCGGTTATCATTATTTTACCCTTTAAAAACAAATATTAAAACATTATAAAAAAAATAGTTAATTGCATTAGTTCATCAAGCTAAATGTCACTAATGAGTGGCATCTTATCAAGAAATCCATGATTTTTTACCCTTATCAAATATGCTTATTGTACAAAATTGTATAGATAGTATATTATGTGGGCCTGCAAAATAAAAAAAAAACTGCATTATTTAGTTTCAATATTATACAAGTAGCGATTCTATAATTTGTTCTAAATATTGTAATCCTTTTTTAATATAACAATTTAAAATAATTTTTTAAGGAGTACAATTGGGCAATTTCAACAATCTAGGGGGAGATTGATATTAACGCTGGTCACCAGGTCTAAACTCTAAAGTAGTAAGTCAGTAAGTGTACATAGTATTGTCATTTGTCAGTAGTTGTTAAAAAACAATGACCAATTATTGATCTGAAGGATATTAGCTCGCTAACCGGATGACCAGAATAGTGTGTTACGTGGGCCGCCGTGAGAACTGACGGCCCGTTCTAGAGAAATTAAAAGATCGATGGCCAGACCATTGCTGGCTGACCATCATTCGATTAACGAACACTGGGCAAGCAGGGTCTATAAATGATGTATAAGGCCGCACCGGACTTGGCCGAACCCGAACGGGACGGCCGTTTCAAAAGATGGGGCGCAGTGCGGCCAGCGTCGAATTTCACAGACCTGTCTCGAGTAACTTTCTGACGTCTCGGGATTTGCGATCTTCGGACGGACGGCCGGCAGAAGTGCCCGTTCCGACGGCGTCACGCGCGACCGTCGGACGCGATCGATGGCCGGTCGTCCGACAGCGAATCGTCGCGGATGTTTCTGTCGGCTCCACGTGTGGTGTCCTGAATCTTCCGCAAGATGGCACTAGTCGTTCCATGCTCGACGGTCCCGCGCTTGTCCGCGAACGATATTATAAATAACAAAAATAAATGTCATCAATATTAGTACCACGGTTTATAATCATCGGTTTCATATATTATATAATAGTTATGATAATTATAATATTATAATATACCGTGGTTAGTACCTCGTGGTTGCACTATGACGTGTTGTCGGTGACAACTTGTCACTCTCTCAGCGGTCAGTTGTCACTGTGAGCTCCACTAGCTCCAGGGCCTGTAGAAAAATTGAGCCTCCAAGGGAAAGCTACACCCGCATGTGTACACCAAGGGGCGCTACACCCACAAAATAATATGGCGTACAATATAGCAAAAACTATGATAGAACCACTCAGGATGTAGTCGTAGTGATACTTAAGAGTTAAGACTCCAAATTGATATACAATATAAATAGTTGAGAACATAATTTGTGATATATGGTTTTTAATTTTCTTCATATCACTTATAATATGAAAAAAGTTCTTATTGTTTCAAATGCCATTGTTTTTTTATTTTAGTCATAATAATTTTAAGTCCATAATAATAATAATAATAATAATTGAGTCAATAAGTCAAGCAATTTCGATTCAAATTTCGATTATTTGTTCAACTTTCAACACTGTAAATAAGCTGTAGACTTTATTTTAAATTATTTGTGTACCTAATAAATTAATAACTAGGTACCTATTATAATAAAATGTGCAACAATCTGCAACAATTAATAAACCGACAAGTTAGTTAAAAATAATGTAACACGTAAATTCATAGATTATGCAGTTAAAACTAAACTGTCAGTTGATTAATATTGATTTTTTCATCAAGCTAAATACAATGATTTTAAATATAAATGGCTGACGATTAGAAGGTATTTGCATAATATATAACACAGTACCTAAGTATAAAAAAAAAAATACTACCTTTGTGCAAATAATAAAAAGTGTATTAAGGGAATATTCATTGAAATGTTATATTTTCACCTATACACGGATTCGTCCGAATACAATAAATAATAATAATAACAATATGTCATATAAATAGTCCGAATACCGAGCGTAGTTTTATCTTGTAATATCAATCTCCATCTCTCAGTTCTGCCTGAAAAATGTCTCAATAATATTAAATTGTTATTATTATATACTAACACCTAATTAAACATTCTAGTTATAAATCGGCTACAATTTAATATGCACTTTAATAATTCTCCTTTAATTAGAACCACGTGCAACGTGTGAAGATTATTTATACATTGATATTTTTATATGTAACTCTGTTGTGTCTTTTAATGTATACCTTAGTGGTATTCAATCATTTAAATCTGTATTGTATACCTCTCACAACCAGTGTTCCGGTTAGGTTCGGATTAGGTACTTTTTTAGTTTTTTTTATCTAGATAAAGATAAAGATAATGCAACTCAAATGTATCTAGTTAGATATAAAAGATAACTTAACTCATATTTATCTATATAAAGTTAAAGATAAATACTTTTTTATCTAGATAAAAAAAAGATACAATTATTTTTTAAATGGTTTGAAATTTAGGTATATTTTAGTTGGGCACTATTAACATAATAACAATAATTATCTAAATAAAAATAATTACATTATTTATAAACTATAAACTTTGTTTGAGAAACTGTATAGGTAAATATTTAAAAATGCGTTTGTATAATTTCGAGATTTTTATCAATAAAAAATGTATCTAGATGAATTTATTTAGATTAGTAAACTTATCTAAGATTATTGATGAACGTTTAGGTACCTTGTAACTATTTATCCAGATAAGATAAAAGATGAACAAATAATTATCTACTAAGTCCGAACACTGCTCACAACATCTATTCTGTGTAATATAAAATATTATTATTTTATGTTTCCACAATTCCACATCATAACTTTATTGTAATTAATTATTAAATTAGCCGATTCAATCATAGTAAATACTAAATAATAATATTATGTGGCGTATGTAATCAACAATTCTTTATTTTCGGTTATATTTTAAATTTGTACTGTCCATTTATCTTTGATAAATATATCACAGTTCGTGGTATATTGTTATTTGTTCTGAACAAGCGGCTGTGAACTGTAATAATAATAATATTACCATCATAGACTATGGTAAATGGTAACTTATTAACAACAACATATTTATGAATCATAGATTTTCCTTGTAAATGAAATGTTTTACCATTTATTATGATTTATGAATACTATAATAGTATAGTAATACAAATAGATAATAGTCAATAGTACTATATAATTAGTACTATAATACTACCATAAGGGCCAGTTGTACGTCTACGGTTAAACTACGATTAAGCTTAAGGCTTAACGGGGCAAATTCGGCCGATTAACTTTAATCAGAGATGGTACAACTGGCCCTAATAACTGTAATCATAATCAATGGATTTACGTATTTGAAAATTTGATCGCGGCCTACTTAGTTAACCTACTAATAGGCGCAACTCTGACGATGACGCTTTTCCTCGCCGGTATGGCGAGTATGAACTTAATCAATGTAAACTAAAAAATGAGCGAGTACACGATTTAAGATAGTATCACCATATTTCATATATTATTCTGTGATAGTAGGTATTTAAGTCCGTGTACGCGTCCATGTGAAACGGGCCTGAGTTGTAATGTTGTCGATGCTGCCGCCGCCGCCGCCGCATAGAGTGGCTCTGTCTGGCGGACGGACTGCGCGCACTCGGATTGACGCGACGCGCGGCGGCCACTGTGTTGTTTTCGAGCGCTGATCGGCTATGTCCGCGAACTCTCAAGGATCACCAATTAATGGTTCTGTCTTCGGCCATGAATGGTCCGGCGATGGTTCTGGATCGTCGGGTGACCGTTCTGAATCGTTAGAAGCCGACGCTTACGCTAAAGATCTATTGGGCCGTCGGTTGAACGCCGGAAACGCTCGCCACGGCGGTATTATTTTCGGCCGTTAGAGAGCGCTGAACGCATGACCACTTTCCAATCGACCACCGACGTCCGGAAATTCGGTATACAGACGCCGGCTAACGGCTTTCGTCGGCCACCTAATCCAAAGGGTGGCCACCCGGAAGTCGAGGACGTAACGCGCGCTGCTCTTACGATGACCATACGACGGACTAGACGGCCATTGTGGACACCGGCCGCCGGACGTCTGCCTGTCAGTGACGGCTCTGGAACAGCATAAGAGGGTGCTGAACCAGCGGTATCGTCAGCTTTGCGCAGTGGCGATATCGTAACCAATGAGGTCCATCCGAGGTGCGATTATTGCTAGTTGAAAACTTTAACCAATACCCCGCCATGTGGACATGAAACACTGTCCGCGTAGGCAATTTTTGAAGGCCCTAACGGGCTCATATCACTTGAATCACTTTTCTTCAGAACCCCTTCACTGTCTGTTGGGCATGGGTAGACGTTGCGTCCAAATCGGATTCCGTCCCCACGGCCCACGGTCGTCGGGTCTACGGTCTACCTAGTCTCCGTAGTTGATTGACTTCGGTACATTTAATCTTTTTCTATGACAGAAGCGTTTACTCATGAATCTCTACGTTATTTTCGTGTAAAATTTATTTAGTTAATACTCAACTAGCAATAAAAAAAAGTATAATCTATCTACACTTCAAGCATGTCCGTATTGCGATTTAAATAAAACGGTTCACGCTCCTTACAAGACATTAGGTATAATGTTCATTACCGTATTGCAATCTGACATCTGCGGGTTGTATTCTTGAAACTTTAGCCAATTTCATTTACACATAATTACAAAACGTATTGTGCGATTGACAATACTCATTGGTTATAATTTTATAAATATAAACTGCGTTGCCGTTGGTACAACTAAATAACAACCGATGATCTATAGTGAATAAATTAAAATGTTGATGAATATTGCCTACTGTTTGATCTTAAAAATGTTAATTTTAATACAGAAGCTAAGCTTAGTGTAAGTTGTGCGTTAATTTTATGTGTAACACCATAGTTGTTAAATGTTATCATGTTAAAATAAATAGATAATAAAATAAGTAAAACTTCAAAATATACAAATTCCAGGGATTATAAATTTATATAAAATATATTTTATTGTTTCAAATTATTTGACCATTACATTTTTAACTTGAATAAATCCGCCCGTTTTTAATTTTTTTTCAATTCAATACTCAATATTAATTGAGCCCATCTCTGATTCAGGTTAATACTTATCAGTTATCACTTATCAACAATCTTATTTGATTATTATTATTATTTGACCATGTTTATCAATTTCAGTTTTCTAATGGAGCCTTGAATCAATTTTTCTATATCCCGAACATGAACTAAAATTATTATAGTTACTAGTAGTTACTCTTAGTTCATAATCCCAAATAACAGTGAAGTATTTACTGATATTTAAACAAGACAATTAATTCGAAAGTAAAACCATAAAATATGAATAATCCATTTTGATTTGAAAGTAAAACGTAATAATTACATATGTACTAAAAAAAATATAACCTCATAACATAACCTGGCAATCATTTTTACATTATAATCTAAGGCGCATAAATCATAATTATTGTATATAAATATTTTTTTTACTGGTGTTGAATAGTAAAATACATTATAAAAGAATATTTTTCAAACTTTTTTTATTACATTACATTATTACACAATCTGTATTAGGTTTACAAGAAGTGTAAGTGAAAAGTGATTTCTTAGACTTAACACAATTACAATGTAATCTAATACACATCTTATATTAGTAGATATCTAACTATGAAAATAGACTGTAATCAAATCCTAGCCTGGATGATGAAATGTTATCTTGGAATGTGAATATATTATGGTATTATTAAAGTAGAAAAATTAATATATGGTTATAATTTAGCATTTATTAATTTGAAAAAATTTTTAAAACATTGAAAAAAGTATAGTTATAGCCTACAGGTAATGAAGTTATGTTTGATTTAAGGTGTTTTATAGGCATAAAATACAAAATATTTTCAGTATTACAAATATAATCCTAGAATATTTTCAGTATAACAAATATAATCCTTCAATATTATTAGTGTTACAAATATAATCCTTCAGGTGTGCCTTCTTTCTTACGGTATAAGACACTTTCTTTGGACTTCTTGAAATCTTCATTGGTTACTTTCATACGACGTTCACGGAGAGCCATCAAACCAGCTTCAGTACAAATAGCCTAAAAATAATTTAATTTATTAGTTTAAATCATCTTATAAATAATATATTAAAACTACAACTCTAAAACTGTTATTTCTGTAGTTATCAGTTATCACTCAATAAAATATAATTAAAATGCTTCCTCTTAAGATTAATTTATTCATTCTACAGTGCTAATAATAATAATTGATAAAAGTACTAGTAAAACCAATAACTTTATTATTGTTTTTCATTCAAATTAAAAACATGAATGATTATTAAAATTGTTTTGTTTATAATTTTATATATGACAATTTACTAGATAGGAAGATAATATGTGTTGTCTCCATCTTACTAATGCATAATATATCAAAATGTACGTCCAGCATTTCCAATTTTGTGTTGTTAGTTTAAATATTGAGTGAATTGATGACCCATTATCAAACTTAAATATAAGAGCATTATCTATGTTCTCTCATTGGTTTTAAATGATATTTAATTTTTAAGTGAGTTATCAGTATGTAAAATATTTGAAAATACTCATAATTCACTTCAAATTTAAAATATCATAAAAACCAACTAGAGAACACAGATAATATTATTTCATTTAAGCTTGATAATAATTCACTCTAATAAGCTAACAATACAAAATTGAAACTGCTGGACGTACATTTTGGTATATTATGTGTTAGTAAGACAGAGAGAACATAATATTATGCGGATACAACATCCTCTTAAAATCTGAAATAATTATATATTACTGGGTAAATATATCAAATACTATTATCTAACAGATATATATATATATTTATATTAAATTTTGTTATAATATAATATAAAAATTTGTTATTATATTATAATGATCTAGATTTGGGCAAAAATTCCCCCCCCCCCACGATCTTTAGTCAACAATCAGTCTGCACTCTGCAAAGCACACACCTATTAGTTACAATTAAACTAAATGAAACAAAGATAAGGTTTTTTAATGCCCAATAATACATACAATATTGTGTTTGAATGACACTGACTTGCATATTGTTTCAAATATTGTTAAATTGTACTTACATCAATAATTAAAATTATAAATTAAAAATAACTGTTTACTTTGATATCAGCACCAGAAAGATCATCCTTGGCCATAATGAGCTCTTGGAGATTAACACCTTCAGCTAATGTCATTCTGGAAGTGTGTATATTAAATATACGACGTTTTGTTTTTTCGTCTGGTAAGGGGAACTCAATTTTACGATCAATACGACCCGGACGAATCAATGCTGGATCCAAAGTTTCAATACGATTTGTGGCCATAACCACCTGTAAAAAAGAATACAAATTCATGAATATTCTATAAGATCTAAATAAGTAAATAACACAATAATTTACCTTAACATCGCCTCTGGAATCAAACCCATCCAATTGATTAAGAAGTTCCAACATAGTACGCTGAATTTCACGCTCGCCTCCAGAATTTGAGTCATAACGTTTAGTACCTACTGCATCTATCTCATCAATAAATACTATGGATGGTGCGTGTTCCTCAGCTACACGGAACAGTTCTCTTACCAATTTAGGACCATCTCCCTAAGAGTTTGTTATAAATTAAAATAAATTAGTTTAAGAATACATTGATTTAAGAATATAAAAGTGAATGTTTGTATAACTTACCAAATACTTCTGGATAAGTTCAGATCCAACAACTCGTAAGAATGTTGCCGAGGTCTGGTTGGCAACAGCTTTAGCCAAAAGGGTTTTACCTGTTCCTGGAGGTCCATACAGAATAACTCCTTTAGGTGGCTTAATACCCATTTCTTCATAATATTCAGGATGAGTTAAAGGAAGTTCAACCGATTCTTTAATTTCTTGGATCTGTTGATCTAAACCACCAATATCACCATAAGTTTCTTGTGGTGCTTTTTCTAATTTCATCACAGTTACCATAGGATCTGTATCATCTGATAGTACTCCAACCACTGCATGAACCTACAAACAAACAAAATAATTAAAATATTAAATTGCTTCTGGTTTTAATTTATTTGGATATTTATTTACTTTGTGGTTAAGTAATACTGAGCACCCGGGTTCCAACTGATCTTTGTCGACAAATGACAAAATGCTAACATAATGTTCACTTCCAACCGATGTTGACACTATTGCATGATTATCATCAATAATCTCTTCCAATGTACCAACAGACATTGGGCTTCCACGTAGATCATCTACTCTTGAACGTTCTTCCTGTTAATAATATACAATTTGGAAATCAGAGTATTATACGTAATCATAATTTATAATTCTAATATACTTTTTTTTACATAACTTCAATGTCGTAAGTATATTTATAAAAGCATATCTTATCGAATAGAATATTATGTACCAAGGACCTACACTTAACTTTTTAATATTTCTTAAACCTTTAATTTGGCAAACTTTTTTTTAGTGCTTAATGCTTCTTTTTTTAAGCATAATCTTTAAGCTGGGTTTCAATTTAATTTAATTTTTTTGATTCAGTGTTATTGTTGTTAATTTAAACTTTCCTTAAAAAAAAAACCATTCACCAATTAATACTTGAATACAAAACAAATAATTATCATGTATTTTAATGATTTGTTAAAAAAAAAAAAAAAAAGTAGAATTATAAATCAATTTCTAAATCCAAATTTTACTTAGATAAATAATTAAATAATCTAGACAGTACCTATACCAAACTATAATAATTTATTATACTATAGTCAACTCGCAATATAATGAATGAATCTAACATTCCCTTGAAAATCTAGCAATTTAACGATAAATCACATGTATTTGGTCCCCACATATAACCCTCTTTTTAGCTAAAGCTCTCGCAATGTGACAAATTATCACAATTTCGGAACTTCCTCCTACAAAAATTTTTTGATGATTATACGCAATAATATGCTTTAGTAGATTATAGCTATTTAGGTTCATGTCGATAAGTGTACAATAGCTCAATCATTAATCAATATAATAAATAGCAAAATCAGCTCCCTGTTCTGCCTTTAGTTATTTACACTTGAAGTTTACGACAATATGTTCTAGCATTTTAAATCTGGACAACATTATTGATCAAGTAAGCTCAAACCACACACATAATAATAACAGATTTAAAAAAAAAATAAATATACATCTAATAAATGTATAATAACAGTATATGTGTATTTTTTTGTAATACGACTATACGAGCTTACCATATATAAAAAATGTCTGTTATATTTATGTGTATGTAAATATTATTAAATAAAAATTATTATGTATCTGTAGTGTGTTGATTAACATTTTGATAAATCTCATTATAAATTTTGTTGGTTTAGGCTCTGGATATAACAAATTTCAGTGTAACAAATTTTCAATATTATGAACATTTTTTTTGGTCCCTTGAAATTCGTTATATCGTGAATTGGTTGTACCTAAATAATACACTTTTTATTGAATAAAAATGGTATTCCGAAAAATAATTACTTCATTCCTTTCTTCTTGGGGCTTAAGCCTTTCTTGGTTTAGTATGAATTCTTCTTCCATCATTAAATAATCCTTGACACGTTCCAATTTCAACAACTTCAAACGACATCTTGTGTGTGGAGTAACTAAAAATTAAATCAAAGTTAATTAAAAATTAGTTAATTATTTAAATTCTGCACAATACATACTCAGTGGTAGTTTAGTAGCTGTGTCCGGACCCTTTGCACGCTTCCTTTTCTTCCCCACTCTTGTTGGGATTGGTGGTTCATACTTCTTCTTTTTGTCCTTGTCGTCTTTCTTTTCACCACCAGCACCACCACCGGCTGAATGACTTTGACCCTAAATGACATAATGGTTTTCTTTTATAACATTATATAATATCAACGATAATCAATTAGTTATGTACTTATGTATTAATTATGAAAAACATTTCAATAACTTGTTTACACTTACCATTTTTATGGAATACTCAAGTGTACCTACAGAGTGTTGTCCTCAAGATACTAAAACAAAGAACAACTAAAATTATTTTCAAACTTTTCACTTCCCAGTTACCCTAGTATTTAATATTTATTTGAAGAAGTTACAACTCGTTTGAAAATTAAAGTAATACAAAAAATGTCAACAATAATGATTCTCAATTTTTGATTATCATTTCCCTTGTTGCCAAGTCTATCCAAAGCACGACTGTTCAAAAGGAACTTATTGCCGAGTCATAGCAAAATCAGTGTGACCAGCTAAAGGGATTTAAATAGAGCGGTAAAATTATTTTAATCAAATTTTAGATACCCACCGGAGAGCCATGAATGTATTTTTTTTAAATTATGTTTATTAAATTTTTTTTTATGTGTTCACACAAGTAATTGAAAATATAATGCTTCGATTTTCAACTTTAGTATCTTGTTCGATGGGAAAGTGAATCTAGTTGGTGCATTGGGGAGGTCAAAACTCAAAATCCAGATATCCACAATGGTTTTTAAAAACGCCGAGGACAACAAATACAAAATTAAGGAAAACCGAGAATTTTTAACTTTTTAAGGGGTTAGTCTAATTTACTGATTTACTGATTTACTGATTTACTGATTTGGGGCCATAGCGCCCGTAGCATGGGCAAACTAAGTCCGAATAAGTTCAAACTTCACAAGTGCCATTATAATACCCCCCTCCAACTCCCTACCAAATTCCAGGTTGCCCCGTCGATTTTCACTTCCGGGTTACTTGTCGCAGAAATATCACAAACTTAAAAACTTAACCAAAAATTATGAAATTTTTTACTCGGCATAAGTTGTACCGTATTTAAATATGGGGAAAATCTCAAGTGCCTACCTCGAAAACCCATGCAGTTATAAGACAAATCAGTAATTTATTCACATACATAATCGAATCAGTAAAATCACGCGCCGCCGTCCAGGAAAACTGCTGATTTGCTCTTACACTCGCAATACTTAACCAAAAATTATGATATTTTTTGCACGGTATCGGTTGTACCGAATTTAAATACCTTGGAAATTTCAAGTGCCTACCTCGAAAACCCATGTAGTTATAAAACAAATCAGTAATTTATTCACATAATCAAATCAGTAAAATCACGCGCCGCCGTCCAGGAAAACTGCTGATTTACTCTAAAACCCGCAATAGTTTATAGAAAATAATGAAATTTTTTACACGGTATCGGTTGTACCGAATTTAAATACCTTGGAAATTTCAAGTGCCTACCTCGAAAACCCATGTAGTTATAAAACAAATCAGTAATTTATTCACATAATCGAATCAGTAAAATGACGCGCCGCCGTCCAGGAAAACTGCTGATTTGCTCTTACACTCGCAATAGTTTATAAAAAATTATGAAATTTTTTACACGGCATGAGTTGTACCGTATTTAAATATGGGGAAAATCTCAAGTGCCTACCTCGAAAACTCATGCAGTTATAAGACAAATCAGTAATTTATTCACATAATCGAATCAGTAAAATCACGCGTAGCAGTGCAGGAAAACTGCTGATTTGCTCTTACACTCGCAATAGTTTATAAAAAATTATGAAATTTTTTACACGGCATGAGTTGTACTGTATTTAAATACTATGGAAATTTCAAGTTCCTACCTCAAAAACCCATTGAGTTATAAATTATAATGCAGTTCAGTAATTTGTTGACATAAACAAATCAGTAAAATGATAAGAATCCTGTATGTTATGTTGCATTACAACATTTCTAGGGCACTTACTAAAATAATGCAATTATTACACATTATAAGAATAATATATATTTTAATATTTAATATGATCATTATAACATAATAATATAGCACTAGACAATGACTTAGGATTTATCTACATCCCTAAAATTACAATTAAAATTAAAGGTTTGTCATGGGCTAAGGTTAGCTCTTCTTTGGATTTTTTTTTAATTTTGAATGTAGCATTGTATAACTAGTGCATATATTTTAAGTGCATTATTATGACAACTGGCTCGTTTATTATATTGTTAAAATGTTTTTAGAGAATTGAATTATTTGGGAATTTGCCTTCATAATAATGTGTCTTAACATAATATAATAATAATAAATGGGCTGAGCAACTTGTTTTACAAAATATCAATAAATGAAAATCAGTTGTACCTTTTAGTACCTGTAGTGTTTTTACAGTGTTATAAGCGGCAATTTTGGCACCCAAATTTGTATCTCTTGTGTTTGGAAATTAATTATGAGGGTTAGACATTTTTCTCAAATGTACTTCTTACAAAATAAGTCCCTACCTATACAATAGTTACTAAAATAAAGCAACGTATTGCACTTGAGTGTGACTTAGAATTCATCCATATAGATACCTGAAACAAAAAACTCATGCGGTTGTATGTACCTCATTTAAATCAGAGCCGTCATACCCAAATAAGTATAATTATTAATTTCTCTTTATGTGCCAATGAGTATATTATAGTAATTTACACTTTTCATTTTTAAGTTAATCTTTATCATACAATGTACCTAAGTTTCGATATAAAGATGTATGTATAAAGTATGCAGCAATTATTGTTTTTTTTTTACCAATAAATTACAATACTTAATGAATTGTTGCTATATTGCTTTCAAATTGTATGTAATTAAGTCCAGTTTTTATAACAACATATTCAAATTTGGTTTATACAGTTTTTCTAAAATATATTGCTATAATATACCATCACTAAGAAAAGTAATTAATTGAAAGCTTAAGTTTTTGTTTAATTTGTTAAATTGTTAAATATATATAGTCTTGTTTAACCTAAAAGTGTTATAAACTATAATAATTTGTTTAAACTTAAATACAAAACTGCAAACTCAAGTCAACCAAATAAGGCTGTCAAAATAATCAATTATTAAACATTATTTCAGCTTAAAAAAATTAAAAACAATTAACAATACACAAAAAGAAATGTTTACTTACTTCATTACCTATTATTTCATAATTCATAGATATTTATTTATAATATAACATAGCATTTATTTATATAATTTATGATATATTGATTATAAAACAAATTAATTTTATAAATTACACTGGTACAAAGTCATAAATATTACTCATATTACTTATAAGTTATAACTCATAGATACCTACAGTATTTTGAAGATACTCTATAAAATGCACACAATTTCTTTCATCTATTTTATTTTTTTTATTCGGTGCAAAGTTATATAGAGTGTTGTATAACATTGAACCACGATAGCGGATATATTATACTATAATGTTTACGATGCTTTGTACCAACATTAAAACTCTCTTGATTTCACTTCTAAGCAAAAATTCCTCAATATTTATTGTAGAAAAGATCTAAAAAAAGGTGGGTAAGTGGATGTCGCTCTGCTGTACTGTAGGTTACAAGTGGGTCACTGTATAATGGATGGTTTAAATTTGAATGCAATGATATAATATCATTGTATAAGAAAAACGATTCTGAGCGGAGACGGTATGTCGTCTAGATATAAGACATATTATATACTTTTCTATGGTATTAAATTATATGGAATTTATGAATAAATTCCTTAAAATATACACAGTCTTATCATGAGCATAATTCTTCTTCCTTATACTATGGTAGGTTGTATGGATAGGCCATAATATTTTGATTTTTCAGTTTCATATATCCCCGAATTATATTTTTGAATTACAACAAAAACAAAGATCATTAATATTGATTTTAATATGTAATTTCATCCAAATTTGAATTTAAAATGTCTGTAAAAATAGCTGTGTTCATATATTTTTTAGATTTTTTGGTTACAATATGAACTATTTATGAGAACCTTTGTTTTAAATTTGCAATCTTTAGCTATAAAAACTGAACATTTTATAATTTATTCATTACAATGATTGATAATTTTCGAGATTTTGATAAATTTTGTCAAAATTCAATGTTTAAATGCTTAAAAAAAAAAAATTGTGCCTATATATTTTTAATATTTTTCAATGGCTACTGTAACAATACCTATATCAGGAACCATGTATTAAATTTTTACACTTTTTGGCCCAACAGATAAAATTTTATTGATATTTATGGAAAAAAAAACTAAAAAAATTTAAAACTGAAAATGTCCGTAAACAGCTCAAAAAGAGTCGAAATATTTTCAAAATTATACAGTGTATAGGAAATGCTAATCTGAACATTCAGTGAAATTTTCATGTATCTATAAATATTCGTTTTTGAATTACAACAAAATAAGAAAATCGCTACATGAGAAATCAAGTGAATATCCAATGTTGTAAAAATTTGAATTTCAAACGCTCATAAAAATTTAATTTGACTTTCCGGCAGAGATTTTTTTATTGATAAAGGTAGACAATCTTATGAGTAATCTTGTATTAGATTTAGAATTAAAAAGAAAAATTTTTACGAATTCTTAACTCAAAATAATTTGCTAATTTTTGTGATTTTTCCATATTTTGTCAATTTTTGAACTTTAAATGCTTGTAAAAAAAAACTGTGACTAACGATTTTCAATATTTTTTATCTGCCTTTGAAACAATATACTAGGCGCCTCCTATTAAATTTTCATGCTTTTTTACCAACAAATAAAATTTTATTGATATTTTTAGAAAAAATACTAAAAAAAAATGGAAAATGAAAATGTCTGTAAAGAGCTCTAATTAAATCAAAATATTTTGAAAATGTTATCGTGTATAGAAAATGCAAATATTAACAACCAGTGAAAATTTCATGTATCTACGGTCATTTGTTTTAAAGTTACACCAAATACCAAATTCAATTTTCCGAAAAATCGATTTTGCGTAAAAATTCTCGTTTTTCCTTAATTTTTCTTTTGTTTTTCTTGGCGCTTTTAAAAAGTACTGGGAATTTTCAAATTTGACCTCCCCAATGCACCAACGATATTCACTTTCCAATCGAACAAGATACTGAAGTCGAAAATCGAAGCATTATTTCGACTACTTAACGTGTACACAGACACAAAAATAAAAAAATAAAAAAAATATAAAAACACACATCATTGTAAAATCAATACATTCATCGTTCCACTCAGAATCTAAAATGATTAGTTAAAAAAAAACACTGAACATGGTATACCATTACTCATTGACTGTATGCATTAATCTTAATCATAGAACTTAGTTAGAATCATATAAACTTAGTTAAGACTTAATCAATTTTTAGTAGAATGTAGGGGACTTACCAAGTAAATACTCAATTATTAGTATTCATAACTAGGAATATCATGTTAAGGTGATTTTCAGTAAAATCTTAGCAACCTCTGATGTTAGTTAAACAAAAATTATATTAAATAAATAACTAAACACCCATATTTCCATGAAATAAGGTATTTTATTGGTTAAAATACAATTTTCTTTTAAATTTGGAACATGTGAATAAACATAAAAATGTGGACTTGGCCTTTGCAGTTTTGTATTTAAGTTTAAACAAATTATTATAGTTTATAACACTTTTAGGTTAAACAAGACTATATATATTTAACAATTTAACAAATTAAACAAAAACTTAAGCTTTCAATTAATTACTTTTCTTAGTGATGGTATATTATAGCAATATATTTTAGAAAAACTGTATAAACCAAATTTGAATATGTTGTTATAAAAACTGGACTTAATTACATACAATTTGAAAGCAATATAGCAACAATTCATTAAGTATTGTAATTTATTGGTAAAAAAAAAACAATAATTGCTGCATACTTTATACATACATCTTTATATCGAAACTTAGGTACATTGTATGATAAAGATTAACTTAAAAATGAAAAGTGTAAATTACTATAATATACTCATTGGCACATAAAGAGAAATTAATAATTATACTTATTTGGGTATGACGGCTCTGATTTAAATGAGGTACATACAACCGCATGAGTTTTTTGTTTCAGGTATCTATATGGATGAATTCTAAGTCACACTCAAGTGCAATACGTTGCTTTATTTTAGTAACTATTGTATAGGTAGGGACTTATTTTGTAAGAAGTACATTTGAGAAAAATGTCTAACCCTCATAATTAATTTCCAAACACAAGAGATACAAATTTGGGTGCCAAAATTGCCGCTTATAACACTGTAAAAACACTACAGGTACTAAAAGGTACAACTGATTTTCATTTATTGATATTTTGTAAAACAAGTTGCTCAGCCCATTTATTATTATTATATTATGTTAAGACACATTATTATGAAGGCAAATTCCCAAATAATTCAATTCTCTAAAAACATTTTAACAATATAATAAACGAGCCAGTTGTCATAATAATGCACTTAAAATATATGCACTAGTTATACAATGCTACATTCAAAATTAAAAAAAAATCCAAAGAAGAGCTAACCTTAGCCCATGACAAACCTTTAATTTTAATTTTAATTTTAGGGATGTAGATAAATCCTAAGTCATTGTCTAGTGCTATATTATTATGTTATAATGATCATATTAAATATTAAAATATATATTATTCTTATAATGTGTAATAATTGCATTATTTTAGTAAGTGCCCTAGAAATGTTGTAATGCAACATAACATACAGGATTCTTATCATTTTACTGATTTGTTTATGTCAACAAATTACTGAACTGCATTATAATTTATAACTGAATGGGTTTTTGAGGTAGGAACTTGAAATTTCCATAGTATTTAAATACAGTACAACTCATGCCGTGTAAAAAATTTCATAATTTTTTATAAACTATTGCGAGTGTAAGAGCAAATCAGCAGTTTTCCTGCACTGCTACGCGTGATTTTACTGATTCGATTATGTGAATAATTAATTACTGATTTGTTTTATAACTACATGGGTTTTCGAGGTAGGCACTTGAAATTTCCAAGGTATTTAAATTCGGTACAACCGATACCGTATAAAAAATTTCATAATTTTCTATATACTATTGCGGGTTTTAGAGCAATACAGCAGTTTTCCTGGACGGCGGCGCGTGATTTTACTGATTCGATTATGTATGTGAATAAATTACTGATTTGTCTTATAACTGCATGGGTTTTCGAGGTAGGCACTTGAGATTTTCCCCATATTTAAATACGGTACAACTTATGCCGAGTAAAAAATTTCATAATTTTTGGTTAAGTTTTTAAGTTTGTGATATTTCTGCGACAAGTAACCCGGAAGTGAAAATCGACGGGGCAACCTGGAATTTGGTAGGGAGTTGGAGGGGGGTATTATAATGGCACCTGTGAAGTTTGAACTTATTCGGACTCAGTTTGCCCATGCTACGGGCGCTATGGCCCCAAATCAGTAAATCAGTAAATCAGTAAATTAGGCAGTACCCTTTTTAAGCAAAATCAGTTTTAAACAAAATCGATTTTGGTTTTTTGTGTAACTCTAAAACAAATGACAGTAGATACCTACATGCAATTTTTACTGTTAACTGTTTACTTTTTATTTTATATTAACATTTTCTATACACGACCACATTTTCAAAATATTTTGATTTGTTTTGAAAAGTTTAAGGACATTTTCAGTTACCAATTTTTTTAGTGTTCCTTCTATGAATGTCCATAAAGTTGTATTTGTTGGGTAAAAAATCTTGAAATTTTAATACAAGGCTCTTAATATATCATTACAATATAGGAGTTGAAATATATAAAAAAATCCAGTCAAAATTTTTTTCAAATAAGCATTTAAAGTTCAAATCTTGACAAAACACTTACAAATCACGGAAATGTGCAAATTATTTTGAGTTGGAAATGCTTTAAATTAAATTTCCTCTTAATTTTGTCTACCTTTATCAAAAAAAAAAAAGTTTACTAGAAAGTCAAATAAAACTTGGAGTTTGAAGTTCATATTTTTACAAGATTAGATATTCTATCGATTTCTCATGTAGCAATTTTGTTATTTTTTTGTAATTAAAAAACGAATAACTGTAGATACATGAAAATTTCACCGAATTTTAAATTCTCATTTTCTATACACCATACAATTTGGAAAATATTTTATCTCGTTTTGAGCTGTTTACGGACAATTTCAAATTTTAATTTTTTTAGGTTTTTTTTCTATAAATAACAATAAAAATTTATTTGTTGGGTTGAAAAGCGTGAAAGTGTAATACATTGCTCCTGATATATTGTTACAATAGCAGTTTAAAAATATTAAAAATACATTGACAAAATATTTATTATGAGCATTTAAGGTTTGATTTTTGACAAAATGTATCAAATTTAAAATTTAATAATTATGTAGTTAAAAATGTATAAAATGTTCAACTTTTATAGCTAAGGATTGAGCATATTTAAGAATTTCCGACTCAAAACAGATAATTTGCACATTTTCGTGATTAAGCCTTTTTTAAAAATGGTCACTATGTATTTTTAATATTTTTCAACTATCATTGCAACAATATATTAGGAACCTTGTATTAATTTACAAGCTTTTTGACCCAACGAATAACATATTATTGATAGTTTAAGAAAATAAAACTAAAAAAATTGGACACTGAATATGTCCAAACAGCTAAAAACAAGTCAATATATTTACAAAGTTAAGTGTTCAAGAGTCAAATATTTTCATTAAATTGTATAGATCAAGTTGTTATTTATTAGTATACTACCATATTAGAAAATTCATAATAATTTATAAATAAACACTGTAATATATAAATCAAATAGGCAGGTTGATTCAAAACAAAATGTTTTTATTTATTTCTGATTATAATTATAATTCGTTACACAAATAAAGTAGTTTTTATAAAAATGAGAATCACAGAACAATCATTTTGATATACAAAAATTGAAAAATGTCATGAATAATTATTGATAACATTAATTTAAAATTTTGTGGATCCATTATTTTATGCACTAAAATGTGCTTTAAGTATAACAATATTATAAATTTATATATTAAAATAATTGTTGATTATAAAAATAATATAATAAATTTGATATTTAGTTCCAAATTATTAGTTGGTTTTATGAATTTGAGATACTTCGTAAAGATAAGCAGCCATCAATTTAGTCTGAAAAAAGAATGATAATAATTAATTCAAATGAATAAAATGGGATGAAGCTCAATAGTACAGATTAGCTTAAAATGATTTAGTTATAATATTTTATTGTATCTAAAATATTATTAGTTTATGTAGACTGATAAGTCAAAACAAAAAATAATAATGTTTGAATATTGAAATAATATTATATCTAAAATTAAAGGGATTGCAAACAGACAGTTATTTTAACCAAAATGTACCAATGTTTTGTCAATCATACCGATTATCTTAGTAATGTGATTATAATTTTGAAAAGTGATTTGAATTTAGTATTATGTGTACTACTTAAGATCAATCAGGACACCTTTTTTAAATTTTGTTCCTTGACTTCTATTAATTTTGTTTGAATATTTAAAAATTATAAAATTTTAAATGCTGATGATTTGAAATTTAAATAAAATATCTTAAAATGTGGCTTAATTATTCTCAAGTAAATAATATAGACAAATTCAAATCAGTTTTCAGGAGTCTTATTGTGTTATCAGGTCCATTGGAAGGATTGACAACTACAAACAAACAATAATACAAATAACTAAAAAGCATATTATATTGTTTACCATACACGAGTGCAACGCCAAGGTACGTGTACATGCGGTAGCATTCTGCTATTTTTTTTCCACTAGTCACACACACTATAAATCACTAATTTTTTATAGTGAGCACTTAATACCCACTTTTACAAGAAACACACCTATTTAATTATAAATCCTTTAAAACTATTCATTTACAGTCCCCTTAAGGAGATCAATATTAAATATAATTTTTCTATTTAAGAAAAACAATTAATATATTCTTGATAACTAATGTTAACATCAATTAATTTTTAAAATCTGAAATCTAAAAAATAAATATCCATATAATAGAGTGATAAATATCAGAGCTTACTCCTTCAATGTAGTTTCGCAATTCAATTTTCTCATTTTGAGAATGAGCTCCATCATCTCCGGAACCCATTGGCAAAAGTAGAACATTTTTACCAGTCACTTCCTGTAAGTCATTGAAATAAATTTAATAACATGAAAATGTACGAAATTAAAAATATGTTATTCATATGGTGTTATATGAATATAGTAATATTATAATACAATATAATTTAGTAATATACTAATATAGAATTAGTTTAATTATAATATATATAATATACAATTAAATATTATTCAACTGTAGAATATTTGTGAGAGACATACCTGTAAAGTCAGTGTAACAGGGATTGATCCACCACCTCTTGTGTAATCTGGTTCAATATTATATACACACTGTGTAGCTTTATGAGCTGCTAAATAATGAGGATTAAATGGATCTGTCATCCAAGGATTACCACCATCACCTTCAGTTACAACCTATAAAATTAAAATTAACTCAATATTTTGACTATTCCTTTATTTTATTATATCACACAACTTTAAAGCATCCTTAAGCCAAACCTAAAACTCAGCAAACAAATTTAAATTTAAAAAAAAAACAAAACAAAATATGTACAATGAAATCGAAAATAATTAAAAACTGTAATCAAAATTAAAAAAACGGTTTCCTAAATTATTAAAAATTATTTACATAACTAATGGGCAGTGCCCTGGTAGTCAACGTAAATATGAACAATATTGATAAATATTAAACGTTATAAAACCTTTTTAGAGCTCATTTTCCTAAATTTTTAGAAATTATTTTATACAATACGTTTAAATACCTATTACATAATACTGTAATATCAAACACATTTTTAAAATTAAATATTATATATTCACATGAGAATAAGTAATAAAAGAAAATAGAATATAATTGGGTAATTTTCAGTAATAAGAAATTTCTCTATATAATTTTAAGTGAACAAAATAACTAAATATTTACTAATTGATAGTCTAAATCAATAGGTGCCACAAACAATATCCTTAAATACTGTTAAATACAATTTAATGAACAGTTCATGAACGTATTACTTTATTTATTTTTATGTCCATTAATTAGGTATATATAGTTTGTTAACAATTAAACATTTATTTTTTAATTTATAATTATATGTTATTGACATTTTTATGATATTCATCATTATTTGAAAACTTATTGTTGGAAAACTTCTAATAATTATTATTTAGGTTAAAATAAAAACTTGAGTTGTCAAATATTGGTCGATTTTGTTTAAGACATTTAAATATAAATGTAAGATTAATAACAACATGAATATTATGTTAGAGGCATTGTGGAAATCCATTGACTGTGGGGGATTTTAAATATTTGAATAAAATATTGGACTATTATTTATTATTTAATCTAAAATATGTAAAAAAAAAAACCCTTAAATAACATGTTAAATAATACTTGGTTTTTTATATGATAACAATTAAATGAAATGTTGTAAGAAAATAATATGAAACCTAATATTTATGAATATTAAAAATGCTTAATACTACATTGCACTTATTCATATTTATATCATTCAATACTAAAGTAAATAAAAAATATACTGCTCCAATAGATATTCAGAATCAAATAAACAATTAAATTTGCTTGGTTAAGTAGTTAAATCAATTTCAACAAAATTATTTTTTATGTTGATTTAACACTCAAAAATAATTACTTTTAATTTATTAGGACTTTGACGCTTCTCCCAAACACTCTGAATGTAACTTTTCACTATTTCAATAATTTTTAATGGTTCTTGATTAGGTACCAATCGGATAGAGAATTTCCCAATTACTTTACGAGGAATAACAGTTTTAAATCCTGGACCTGAGAATGCTCCTTCAATTCCATGAATTGATAAACTTGGATACCTCCAATTACTCATCAATAATTGTTCCTACAATTAAATGTATAAAAATCAATCATATACGTAATTTAAAAAACTAAAAAATAACACTTACTTTTGTTTCTTGCAATGGTTTGGATGCACCAATCTCATTAATGTATGTATCAACATCAAATTCTATTTTATCATATAACTCTTTTTCTTTTTCATTTAAAGGTTCAACATCTTCATTAATATTAGGAATTAAAATATTGCCTTTTATATCAACTAATTGGTTGAGAACATAAATTAAATCCGACATGGCTTCGTATCTGAAATCAAAAAAAGTATTCAAAATTATTTTATCAATACTATAAATTTAAATTAGTATAATAATTTATAAGAACTAATATACTAACACAGTCCCACCATACATGCCACTGTGTAAATCTTTACTTGAACCTTCAATTTCTATACCAAAACAACACATACCACGGAGTCCATAAGTTAAACAAGGTTTTTCTGTACCCAGCCAATAACTATCAGAAATACAAACATAGTCTACATCGTTAAAAAATGTATTTTTCTTCTTAATAAGTAACTCGTCTAAACCTATGCTACCAGATTCTTCCATTCCTTCAAAAACAAACTAAAAGCAAACAAACTGTTTATTCTATTGTAAATTAGATGTGTTGTTAGTATTATTATTCTAACTTTAAGATTAACAGGCAAGTCAGTTCCAGTATTTTGGAATGCTTCAATAGCATGAAGCCATCCAAGGACTGGACCTTTATCATCGGTAGAGCCTCTTCCATATAATTTATTGTTTCTTTCAGTTAAGATAAATGGTTCACTATCCCATCCGTCAGATATGTCGGCTGGTTGCACATCTAAATGGCCATATAAACAAATGGTGTTCTTTTTGGGATCATTACCTAGTGAACCAATTAAAACGGGAGGTAGAGGCACAGTTTTGCCACTTAATACCTAAAATATTGAATTCCTCAAATGTGATTAAGAAAAAAAAATGTAATCAAATCTATTAAAAACTAATTAATTATTGTAAGTACCTGTTCACCAATGTCACAAAGTTCAGTAGTCGCTCCAAGCGCTTGTAATTTTACTTCAGCCCATTTGACCATCCTAACAACTTCAGGTCTTAAGTCTGGATCTGCCGACACAGATTTAATTGAAACTACTTGTGACAATGTTTCCACAAATTTCTTTTCGTTTTCATCAACATAACTACGATAGTAACAAAAAATGATTCGTCATTATTAATTAAATATTAACTATAATTACGGTATACACATTTGCCCAATAATACTACACTTTATTTATATCTACCTGAATATTTTAACCAATTGAGTTGGAAGAGCACTTTGTTGTCTCTTATTTTTCGACATTTTTAAGGATATTTTTTAGTAACAAATAAATTTCGGTAATAAGAAATAATTTAAGGCTGCCAGTTCAGTGTTCACAAATTATAAAACTGTAATATCACGGACGTTCACGCCTCAAACCAGTAACCACAATGACATAAGTGGAGAAACAAGATCAACAACAATAATAATCACCAGGTTGGATTACGGGCTACGGCTGTTCGTTTCCGTTATAGTTTGTGTACATATATTGATATATATAGATTACATATATAACTATGAATCTATGATATAATGTAATGTCTTATATACACGATAATAATATTTTAGTTATGTGCACTGTACAACAACAACGACCGCAGACTGTAGAGTTTAGAGCGAGGACTGAGGAGTGAGGACGTGGAATAGAACGTTTTGTGTAAATGTCGTTCACGCCACAGAGAGTGTACATAATTTGTTCATCATATTTTAATCAAGGTGGATTGATAAGGTGTAAACACTTCCACCCGCCCGTCTTAGATAAAGTGATCGAAAACTTTACTCCAGTTAAATATGCCGCTAGGTTCGCTGCCTACCCTATAGAGGATAAGAAATGTTAATATTTATATGTGATTTAAATGTACCTATTAAGGTTTTCAACTTTTTTTGTAGAAATGCGTTATAATATGGTATACCTATAGTATATGAGTTATGATATATTTAATAATACATATAAATATATAATATAATAATGTAAAGTAGCTATTTTTGTATTCATAAATTTTATAATATAATTAAGATGTGTCCAAATGTTGTGGCTTGAAGTAACTACCTACTCGTTATTACACTATGGATATAGTTATACAATTAGAAAATTATATATTTTATACATGTTTATACTAATCTAGAATTTTTTTTCAAACGTTTTTCGTTTTTTTTTTTTGGTCTGACACTTTGTTATGTTTTTTGCAGGCAAAAATCATTCTTGTATTTAGGTAAAATTTTACGATGTATTTAGTTAATTCATATTCATAATCTGTACAACCAATTGAAAAAATTGAATTTGAATTGAAAATGTTGCTATTAAAGTAATTTATTTTGATATTTGTATTATGATAGGTAATATCAAGCACTCGCAGTGGCGCAACTAGAAAAAAATTTCAGGGGGGGACGGGGTACAAACCCTTAACGCAACGCCCTGGTTGCGCCACTGAGCGCTCGGATTAAAATACACTAAAAATGTAGAAAAAATGCATTTAACATTTAAACTTGTGTAGGTAAGTTTATGAATTATAATTTATAAGTATGAAAAAATGGAACATTTGAAACACATTTGTAACTTGGAAAGCCTAGTGTAAGACATTCCAAAAAAGAAATGCAAATCCAAGCCCTAGTAATAATATATGTAATTTTGTCCAATGTATGTACCGACTACCGATTAGATTCACTTTTCTACTTTTCTATTATAATGTGGTAAAATTAATAATGAGGTATATTTCTATTTTAAATTAGGTTAGCAAAAATTACAATTGGACATCAGTATAATATGCTATATGTTATTACTTTATACTTATAATATTTTTTTAACTGATTAGTATTTGGAAATATGAAACAATAATACAATAGTTAATATTTTAATATTTCAAACTACAATTTGTCTACAAAGGTACCTCAGGTGGATGAAATCTGGATGGATACTTTTTACCTTCATAACACTTTCGGTCATTAGGCAAACCAGTATTACACCCAGGAGCAAAACATAAATTAGGCATTTTATAATGTTCTAAATTTATATTAACAAAACAAATAAAAATTAAATGAAAATTTAGTATAGTGTGACGATTTTTCATTAATTAATAATTTTGATGTTGATACAAAAGAATCAATGCAAGCACCAATTCCTTGTATTTTGTATTTATTTGTGATCCTACTATATTGTTTTCTTTACCACCAATTAAACCAATCAGAAAGCAAATTGTGACTCCAGGGATAGTTCATAAATAATAGACATTTTTTATTGTGGTTAAAAAATTATAATATATTCATATTTTAACAAATACAGTGGTAATTTATTGTGTTTTGCTTAAATTTTCTTTAAATCTTGCATACGAAGCTGTGTATTTTTGCTCCTCTATCGGGTAGGCAACGCGATCTAGCGGTGAGCTAAACTGGAGTAATATTTTCAATCAACTAATAAGCCAAGTGTTTACACCTTATCAATCCACCTTGATTTTAATAATAAATAATAGATAACAATTAATTGTAATTTATAATCAGTATTCAGTATTTTATTTTTTGAATTTTTAGAGAATGGTAGTTGTCAGAAAAATGATAAGAATGGTAACCCGGCGGTTAGATATTATGGTTATACGACAACAAAGGTGTTGCCAACCTTGTAAGATTAAAAAGAATTTGTGTGGTCCGACGTATGCTGTTTTTCAAAGCCTTTGACCATCACAAAATAATTTTGGTGAAAAGAAGACCACGTGAATAATGACTAATGAATATTTTGACTTATGAGGTATGACCATTCACCATTATGTATTTCTGTAATTATGTAGGAGTAGGTAAGTACAAAATGCTACTAATTACTAAACTACTAAACTACTAAACTACAAAGTATTAGGTTTATTAGTACAATTATTTAAAAACAAAAAAAAAAAAAAATACTTGATAAGTTTAAAGTAAAAATAGAAAATAAAATTAACTTAACTCAGTTAAAGTTAAAGTTAATTTTTTTTCAAGTTTTTTTAAGTCATATGCCCTAGTATTTTGTTGTACACAAACATTTACCAAGCCTTTTACACTGTGTAAAAATATAATTTGAAAATTAATTACCAAAATCGAAAAAGTGTCAACGAATCAGTATTGTCTAGTTGATTACGCATGACACGAAAAGAAAATTAACTTAACTGCATGACAATGATTAACTGTCAACTGTCATTAACTGACAATGAATTAACTATTAAAAAAAAATTAACTTTTTAACAAGTTAATGCCCACCTTTGTTATTTTGGTTGAGTATAATTAAAATACGTAATTAAAATAGAAAATATAATATATAAACTAAGTATTTGAGTAATTTTACTCAAGTACTTTACAAGGCTGCAAAAAATGTGAACACATATAAAAATCACAGGTTTAAAATTGTTGTTTAAAATTGTTAAATTGTTAAAATGTTTAAAATTGTCATTGATTAGGTTTAAAAAAAGTTAATAAAATAAAATTTAATTAATGATTTGTGAATTATTTGCTTCTTGTAGTATCAGAATAAAAAAAAAGAAAAAGCAAAAAGATTGGCCCGATGATCTTAATTTCGTCAAAATATGACATTGACCCTTCTTGCATCAAACCACAGAATTATTAAATTTTAAATTTGATAAATATTGCAGCTTTTCCTTTATTAAAAATTATTATTTATTATTTATTGTTTATAAAGGCGGTATTAAAGACATTAAATATTATAATATTTGTAATATTATATAATATTTGTATAAATTGTATTCCTATATATAGTATTATTTATATTATTATTAAGATTTTGTCATCAGTGTTGTCTTTATGTCGACTGTAATTATTATTGCGATGATTTTTGTTTACGTTGGCGTCACTGGTATAAATCGTGGTTAAACATTCTTATCATTTTTCTGACAACTACCCTGTACCCACGGACTAACGTGGATTCACACCTCGTCGTGTCGTGTAGTGTCGTGTATATTTTCAGTGGTGTGATTGGCTTAACCACGCGGTTAGACTTGGTTAATTAATGGTATTCTGCCAGATTCAACTAGTGATACCATGACGTTCCCACATATACCGCGAAGTTGAATATATTCAACTTTTGATCGTGTGGTTAGTTATGGTTATTATTATTAATTATTTTATGATAGTAAAATGTTATCATTGAACAAAAACGAAAATAAATTATAATTTAAATTTCAAAATACAAAAAGTGAAGAACTTCTCATTATTTGATTTTTGCTAGTTGCTCCGTGTTCGTGTTGCTACTTGACAGAATTTAACGAAATGGCGTTTGTTAAAGTAAGTTAATTTATAATTTGTACGGTTTTAATTATTTTACTTAAGAGGACGCTATACGCCTATACGCGCGTGGCTCTATGTTGTCTTACAAGTGAGTAACATAGCAAATTTACGCTCAGATCACGTTCAACTCCGATAGTTTAAAAATTTGAGTGAATCAACCTATTATGAAACTTGACGGTAAGAATATTGTCTGTGTTTGTATGTGGGCTTTTTACGATTGTTCAATTTTATAGTAAGTTATGCGTAAATAATAATCCGTAAACTTACTTAAAAATTGAACACTCGTAAAAGCCCACTTACGAACATAGATAATGTTCTTACCGTCAAGTTTCATAATAGGTTGATTCACTCAAATTTTTAAACGGAGTTAAAGGAGTTAAAGGTAATCTGCTGAGCGTAAATTTGCTATGTTACTCACTTGTAGGACGGAGACAACACATGCTGGTTTAGCGTTCTCTTAAGCAGTCATACAGGGTTCTAAATTCATTCTTCTATATTATAGTTACTGCCATTTTCTATCTTACTTCATAGTGTGTTATTATGTAATTGTAATTAATAATAATAATATCTTTATATTTTTTTTTTTTAATCTTATACCTACTTACACCGTTCACACTTACTATATGTATAGTTAATATATTTTACTTATTTTTTAGGGAACATTCTGCTTCAAGTGCAACATGTTTATTGTAAATAGTACTACAAAACATAATTGTGTTCAAAGTGGGTATAATGATTATGGATTTAAATTTAAGTAAGTAAGTATGAGGTATAATATTATTTTTGTTTTAGATGAAAATGTATATACTTTAAAGCCTGCTCCTAAAAATGTGGCTAGTAATATCCCTGTTTTAAAAAAAAATTCTACAACACCAGTCAGTAGTAGTTCATTTCCGTGTCTGGTCGTTTCTTCTGTCAATGAAGAACCAAGAACTAAAAATTTTAGAAGAACTAGTTTGTTTGATGTATCTGAGGATGAAGAAGTGACTACCATTGACACC